AAGAGAACTTGATAAACTGAAATCTGATAGGTCAAAACGAATAATTTATGCACCAATTTTTGTTGATCTTTTTACAAAAAACACTGAACGAACCTCCTGGATAGCAAAAAAATATTTATGAGGCTACATAATTTTTAGTAGGCGAAGTGACAAGATTACCATTTATCATGATTAATGGATAATAGTGATGAAACGATGAATAATTCGCCATACAGCAGTTTAGCAAAAACATCTGAGAAAGAAGCCAAAGACGACAGAATGGCAGCAATGACTTTCAAAAGGCTCATGTCCATTGAAAGAAGTTCCTAGAACTGCTGTTATACCAAAAGTGTCGAAAAATAAGCTCAGCAATCTATTTAATGTTTTTAAAGTCCCTCATTTTTTGCAGCTGAAAAAGCTAGATATAAATTTCATACTTTCCCCAATACGTTCGACAAGACAGGGAAATATTCTAACTAGCCAACAATCATAAATTTCATCTAAGGAAACCTGAAATAACAGCAGCTGATGGACAACGAACATGATGTAGTCAAAAAATATAAATTTAACACTCATTTTCAGAACCTATACAACGCAGTTAAAATTTATATCAAAAAAATTACCAAGTATGTACCAATGATATGAATCACAGCCCAATTTTGGGCAATGCAATCATCCTTTAAATTAACTACTTTATCGCCAAAACCCAGAACTGTGAAACCACTGACTAAATCGCCAAAAAAACGAACAATCTTCGCAACGTCACCTGTAGTTGCAAATTTCTTTGTTGTTATCGAGATTTTCTCCTTTATTGTACGCGTTAACAAGTTCTGGAGAAGACTAAGGAGTAAAATCTAAAGGACCTAAGGAATAAATCCATGAAAATCATAATTATTTAGTAGAATTAAAAAACTTCTGATTTGTATCCTGTGCATTTTCAGTAGATTCAAGAGTTAATATAGACAAAACCACAATTTTTTTGAGCTTATTCCTCAAAAAACCCAAAGGTTACTGAAACTATTTATTGCTCTTACTTACTTCCTGCAACAAAAAATTCGTGTAAAAAACAAATATATTTTATCTAGTATGCACCACCGTATTAGTGTAAATAACTAAAGCTGTTTAAAAAACTTGTTACTAAATAATGTCACGATTTCTATTTTATATTATATTGTAACAAGAGCTGATGATTCTGCGACAACAATCGAAGACAATAGTTCAAGAGTTATAATTGCTTTATATTCAAAACCTATAAACCAAATTCAAAAATCACTTTCGTCGGAATCGATATATTTAGTGTATTCATCCTGAAAGCTTTTGTAAAAGCTATTTCTTGTTCGAAGAACTGATGATAATGAGCGTGATTTGAAAAAGCTTGGGCAAAACACTGTTCATTCTTTTCGCAAGTAGAACAGTCAGGTGACTGAATAACACTAACAGTATTTGGAGGAGATTCGTCAATCAATTTATCGCCGATTTTTAAACTATTAGCATTTTCTTTCTCGAGTTCAGCTAAAGAAAAATCAAACTTATATATATTCTTGCTTGAAAAAGACAGAAAAATCAAGGAGCACACTAAATAAAGCATTACATATTAACGCATGACTAATAAAACGAATCATACTCCACATGAATAAGATGTTTCGAACTGCTAACAAAAATAAACATACTATACTTTTCCTCAATAATTTGTGGCTCTGGCAATAAATTGCTCCTAGAATTCAAAGATATGGATGAAGAAACGGAAGCAGTGAATGTGACTTGTTCTTGAATAGCATTAGAAACGTTATTATGCTCTGTAATATCAGAACGCTGTTCAGATGCAGGCGATATACAGAACGAAGAACAAGATGCTAACTTCAGATACCAGAGGAAAAAAATACCCGAAAATACTGTATCTATTGCAAAAGATTGGATCGTAGTTGTGATTACTGCAGGAGGGATAACACTAATATCTGATGTCGCCTTTTCAGCACAAGAAAGGACTGGCAAATTACATGCTTCTGTTTCGAGCGAGGAAGTAGGTATGAATTTATTAGTAATTTGGGGATTCAATGTAGAAGCAACCGATGATGAACTACAAAAATTTAAGAGATTCGGAATTTTCTGTGAGGCTGCTCCTTCAGACAAAATACGAAATACTGTTGAATAACGTGAATACATGAAAATATATAAATTATGCCCATTGTGTACGTGTGTACAAGACTTAAATTTATAAGCTGTGGCTGAAATTCACATGCATGCATCAAATAAATGTAAATGCTAATCATAAATGCAATGTTTGTTCCTTTACATAATGACAGATGAAAAGTATTATTCATAAATAAGCGGAATGAAACCGAAACAGAAATGCTAAAACACTCACTTTAAGCTGACATGCAATAATTGTTTCAGATTCTTTTTTATCTGCAGGGAAATCAATTTTGTAACCTGTGATTTGTGCGGCTAAAATTAACATTTGTTACAACATTTAAAAAATATTAAAGAAAATTTAGAACCAGTAAATGAAGAAAATATGTCATATGCAAAAAATATTTGGATGATATTAAGATAATGTAATAATACATTTCTGCTATTACACTAAATCAAATATTCAAAGACGAAGAATACGTGCAAGATTCTTGTTTACGAATGACAGTTTCATGATCCTTGTAAAAACCTTAGTATGGTGCAAAGCAGAATTACCTCAGACTGCATATTTCTCATATTATGTGGTTACTTTTAGCTCCCGACTAACTGCAGTAATCTACTGAAAAGCAGTCGATAAGAACTATGAAGCAGCGGTCCAAATGTGTCTTGAACAAAAGTTGTCTCAACGTTCTTACCTAATCTGTCAAACTAACTTTGAATACCAGAAAAATACTTGTGGACTGAATTTCGCCAAATGTTCTTTTCGATTTTTTTCATATTCATATAATACTCTCTGACGTATTGCCAAACGCAAATCTTCTTCCTTTTTTACTTTTCGCCCCAAACATGCTCGTTGCTCTAATCGTAATTTTTCAATAAACGTATTGGCTGACGGATATCTGCCATGAAAAACATTTGAACCGGAAGAAGATATATGCCAGCAAGGATCAGTTTTCTCATAATCACTGAAAAAAAGAAATGTATTGCTTATGCAAATGGCATGGATGATATATTTATAACTCTTATCCTTATTATAGCGAAAATTTCAATATTTGGAGGAAAATAAACTTAAAAGAAATATAATTTGCCTCAAGTTCAGGTAATGCATGATTAGAAGTATTATCTTGATCAAAACAACTTACATTTCTACTTCCAATAAACCGAATTTATTATAACTAGAATCAGGCATACCCGATACGGACATATATCTAGATAGCTTCTTTGCTTGTCCGTAAAGTTGGTAAACTTGAAGAATGCCTCAATCTCAAAAAATCAGTCACAGATCAAACAATAATATATTGACTTGTGACATCACCACAACGTAACCATAAATTAATCAAAAACAAATCCACGCAACAATAGAGTATTTGAACACATGGGATAGCGTTTGCAAGACACTGAAAAATTCTTTGCCCACGCAATGAAAATTTGCAATCTCGAAAGATACATAAACAAGACGCATATTTTTTGTCAATTTACGAAGTGATGGCTTTATTGCTAGAGTAAGAGAAGTAAGATAGTACTAATTTATGTGAAAAATTAAATAAGTGTATTTTTATTGAGCGGATTTAAGAAAGCATTTGAAGTGAGAGATGAAAACTGCTTTGTTTGTTTTTGTTTTTCATCGCTGATTGTAACAAAATTTGGCATTGGCACCAATACACCAATAATACTGCAGACGAGGGAATTATTGTTTAAAGAAATTTAACTGTATTTCAGTTACATCACAGATGTCAGATGAATATACATTTATAAAATAAATATGAAGGTTAGTTCGTTTTCGCTTTATTGCTTCTGGCGCTATATCGCGTTTTGGCACTCTGGCTGTACTTGTCTCGCGTTCAGATTTGTTGTACTCATCGCTCTTGCTTCGTCCTCGTGGAATCCATATCTACTGTCGAAGGAGATACTTCCGAGCATCTTTTTGAGAACTATCGATATGTATGTCTCGACGGTCAGATAGACAGATCTCCGTCGCATAGCATTTGTGGAAGTTCGTCACTATCCCATACTAAGTACGGAATTATTTTGGTCCTGCACATCATCTCTGACCCAAGCTTATTAACAAGTAGATCATATCTTCTTTTCTTCTCGATCTCGACTATCCTGACTAGTGGTGCCAACCTCAATCGGGGTTACTTCACGTCGTTTCTTATCGTGTATCATGATATGCGGTCGATCCGCTTTTATTCTGATCGCAGTTTCCACTCGCGTATCGACTCTGATCTCAACATTCTCATTCGCGACGACCTCCTGAACAGAATGGCTTCGCAAGCGCGGAAATGCTTTCAGATCA